ACGGCTAAATTTGGACAGAAGCACTTTGAGTTGGACCAGCACCTTCTGATTTTAGAGACCACCCGACCTCACCTCAGCGGACCTTACAGAACTTCCCTTCTGTACTGCGCCTACGGAACACCATCTAATTCACCAACTGTAACCATGCAGTATGGAACGCCCATGCTTAATTCATGCATACATCCATATGCACTGCAATATTCAAAGCCTGCAACAGATAGGTAGGTAGTCATCTTCCATCACCACTGGCTCATGTTAACCCCCGTCGCCGTCTCATTGCGGCATATATCTCCACTCAAGCACCCCAGAACATGAGCTTTTAGTACCAAACGCATCAACAACCGCCTGATGGGCCATCTTAGGCCCAATATCAACAGCCAGTAACGTTGCAAAGGTGCCTTGTAAACCAATTCTCGTCCCGTATCTTGTGGCTCGACTATTCCTGGCTTGTCTAAGCCTCAATGATTAACCGCCGCCATATTGTCCTATTCACTTTAATCCGGCACTATCACAAACCGATAATAATGTGAGTTCAGTCCGTGATAACATTCATGGGCCGCGTTATTACTTACGTGGAGAGATGCGAATCACAGCTGCATGTTGATACCTAGCTTCGTCAAATGCGTACTACAAGCTGATGAATACACTAGGCATCACAGTTTTCAATGCATGGGACTGGCCAGATTGTTTCTTTGGGCAATAGCCGTCAATCTTCATATCACTTTTCGAATAGTTTCCGGTGATCTCGACTCAGGCCTGCAAGGCGATTCGTTCGACAGTCACGCCAAAATGAAGCCTCATCACTATAATGTACGCCAAGGCGCCTTTTCCTCCTAGCCATCACAGTTTCTTTGATCAGTAAAATGGAAACTATACTAGTTATCTTGCTTGGGGTCAACGGTCGGGGCTCCCCAATCGTCTCAATCACATCTAATCACAACCCAACAGAAGCAATTGTTTGCTTCGTAGTCCATGCATGAAGCATGTCACATGTTCAAGCTCACATCGATTGATAGGTAGAGAACATCCTGATGGTCTACCGAACTATCAAAGTTGCAGCTGGACCATCATCGATTTGCTCATCTCAATATCACTCACATACAAAAAGACCCTCGTCTGATGACTCGGGGCTAATGCAAGTGACACTGGCCTCATCCTAGCCAGGAACGCTCGTTCTGTCTACCATTGGCCAGTTCTTCACAAAACCAACAAGGAATCCCGCCCCAATCCGAAGCAATAAGCGGCCCGCTTCTGCAGGGGTCTTGATCCCTCTCAAAGGGTCGCCGCGGCCTATTATGCGACCCCATCTCTAACTGTTCCAAACCGTGCGCCACGAGCTCAATATATGACCAACCGTAGCGATCTATAAACCAAGCGGTATATAGGAGCTCCTGCCTCTATGTATCGACATCCTGAGTTTATAGTAGAGGTGGAAATACATCGACATACGAGATGGTCAGATACATGAACTCTACGGAGTAGTTGGGCAGAGTTACATCAGGCCATCTCAAGCTAGCCCCAGGGCTCACTTGTCACACCGCAAACTACCTCGATGTGTCGGGTGCTGTTGACGACGGGGCTGATCACCCTTCTAGTAAAATAGCCGAGGGCTTGCATTTCTTGATCGCAAGACTGATCTGAACATCACCGGATCCACCTGTTGGTCTCCAAACTGAAAAGTACGACTGCCGACGATAGATCATTGCCGGTGAGTTAGTATCCACTATTCACGTTCTCTATATCGGAGTGGTTCGCAGTGTAGATATCTTTTTTAAAAAAAAAAAGATTACCGAGGGGTTTTCAGTCACTTTTCTTACGATGATTTCCTGTTCATAGTCATGTCTTGGCCAGCACATTCATGCGCGATGCGTAGCATGGTCTCATCCCTCATAATGAGTTTGTCAACTGATGGTTACGAGGGTGAGCCTCTTCTCGAAACACGTATCTAAGTCCAAGGCGGCTATTTAACAAGTGATTACTACATCAAGAATAACAAGCCCCCCAACATATCGTTCCCATTTGAGAAAAGCCATCCTGCGTTCAGCCTCCAGGGTAAGGTTGCTTTAGGATGGTATATGTAATACAACGATACAGACGCCGACTCTGCGCGAGTCAGATTTAGCAGACACCATAGCCCAGGTGGGCGTACAGCATATCCGGACGCTCTTTCATATATGTAGTCCTGTGACGTCGATGAAACAGCCCGGGATTTTCGGCGAAAGCGTATAAAAAAGCGGACCATACCCGGAGGCCAACGTCCGGCCGGATTGGAAAGCCTTCATCTTCTCCAAGTCTCTTGCGAAGATGTACGTATCTCTAAGGCAACTTACTGTATGAGGGACCAACAAGTGATGTAATTATACTGGGTCTATCGAGAACTTTGCATTGTATGTACCCCATTATGACCTTGAATTGATTATCATTGTCGCCTGACGTCAACGATAGTGATGACAAAATGACGATGGATTCGGCTGTTGGAGCTCAACATCATATCAGCCGCGAGTGACCCTATATTAATGAGAATCGCTACTGTTTAGTTGCCCACTGCCACTCATACTGAGGAAAAATAACACTTCTTTTACTGAATCTCAAAATGTCGACGCTAGCAGCTCCCTTCTATCAGCTCCGTTGCGGCTGCAACCAATACCCATGGGGCAAACAAGGCTCCAACTCTCTATCTGCACGACTCTGTGAAAAGACACCAGGATGGGATGGGGATGGAAAGAAGAACTTCAAGATCGACGAGGACAAACCATATGCTGAGATGTGGATGGGCACATACCCCGTGTTGCCATCCTATGTTGCTAGCACAGGCGAAGATCTCCAAGACGTTCTGGACCGATACCCTAAGGAGCTGTTGGGGGAGAAAATCACTTCGAAGTTTGGACACAGCAAGCTTCCATACCTTCCCAAGGTTCTCTCCATTGCGAAAGCATTGCCATTACAGGTTCACCCTAACAAGGAATTTTCGAGTAAGAAGCACAAGGAAGAGCCAGACTCATTCACGGATGGCAACCACAAGCCAGAAATTGCCCTCGCATTGTCCGAGTTTGAGGCTTTTTGTGGCTTCAAACCTGTTGAGGCTATCGTGGATATCCTACGGCAGAAGCCTTTGAGACACTTCCTTGTCGCTGGTGGCGCAACTGTCGCGGATGAGAAGCTTAGTCAAGAAGGATTGAAGCAGGTTGTTAAAACTATTTTAACATCATCTGACGAAGACATCAAGAAGGCTTTTCAGGCAATCCGAGAACTCCCCGACTCTGCCTTTACGGGACTTAACTCAGCCATTCCACAGGTTGCCAAGAAACTCGAGAAGAATTTCCCAGCAAACGACCCTGGTAATCTGGTCGGACTCTTGTGTATGAACTACATGCTGCTGCAACCTGGCGAGGTTATATATATCCCTGCAGGAGGAATCCATGCCTACATCCAGGGCGATATCATTGAATGCATGGCACGTTCTGACAATGTTCTGAACACTGGATTCTGTCCCAAGGCCGAGCGAGACAATGTCGATGAGTTCTGCTCAGTGCTTAACTGGGAGCCCACGACCAAGTCACAGACGACACTGCAGCCAGAAACATATCCTGGAAGTAAGGAGGGCAAGACCCAGCTTTTCAAGCCACCTACCAGCGAGTTCAACGTGCTTGCCACTGACTTGAAATCTGGTGAGCGCGAGACATTGAGTGAAGGTGGTCCCAAGATTATGCTTGCTACACGTGGAAGCGCAAGCGTCAAAGCAAATGATCAGTCGTTTGAGCTGTCCGAGGGCCATGTGTATTTCGTCGCTCAAGGAGTGAAGCTGGATATCACTGCTGGTAGTGGTGGTCTGTTGCTGCATACTGCGGTCGCGGAATGACTGACTATGGTAATTAGCGAAGAGGACAGTTCGGTCTGTGAAACTTGATGAGATAGATAATGAATAGAGAAAGCTTGTCAGCCTGTAGTTTAAACAGATGTCGCGAAACCTTGTGTAAGAAGCTCATTCAGTTCTAAACCAGCACACACGGAGAACTTGGAGAGACAGTCTTTTTTGGTTACATGTTAGTTACATGTATGTTCCGGCGACCTGGTCAACTGAGCGGGAACTGATTTGATATTGAATCTCGTTTGCCAGCCATTACGGCATGCAGGAAATAGCTAACGGTGTAGATTCGACGTTGGATGGCAGTGTTCTTGATGGATCTGCTTGTGAAAGTCCGGGTCCATGAGTCTACCAAAAGCTTTACAAGCCATTTCTTAGCTATTCCATACGAGGCTCGCCGCAACCACGATACTTACCCACCACATGAACCCAACATAAATACTGTGAGTACGACTCTGATAACAGTACGGCTGGGTTCTAGTGCAAAAAGACAAAAACATACAACAGCGGGGATTCGCTGGTCGTCACCGACCCAACTACTAATCCGCCGGTTAGTGGCTGACTATGGGAGAGCCGGGATCCCGTATTTTCCACTACCTATGGTCGTATGTACCTATCATCTCCGGGAAGAGAACTATATACTTAGACGTCTGTTTCTATTAATACGTAAGGTACCTGAGCACCTGGAGTACGTTATCGTAGATCAGGTTTGCAATAGATGATCAAGATTCTGATAGAGGGTATGGAAACCTATTGCTGCATGTATGAGAGTCTGATGAAGAAGGGAGGAGAAGGTTGAGATGCGGTTGCGATGTGGTCGCTGGTGGTGTTTTAGTTTTAGGCAGGCATGGAGCATTGGCCAGGCAGGTAGGGATGCACTGCGCTGAGTGTGCCACTGGGACGAAAGAACGGACAGTGTGACTGCTCCGTAGTTCACCTCTTTTCACAACTTCTTAACACTCTTCACCATGAAATTCTTGCACACGCAAACAATTCCCGAAGCTGATCTCCAAATATTTGAACGACCAAGCGCATGAATGAACAAAGCTCCTAATTCGTCCAAGTTCCTTAAACACCTCCCTTATTCTGGGCGTTCCACTTTAGCCAACCTGCTGTTCATGTCTAAGTGTTGCAAATGTCAACATTTAACGGAGTCGTATCTGAATTTCCCGAGATACGAAGTCAGTTAATTTCCGAGAAGTGGTGGACATGGTCTGACAAAATACTAGTTGACTTCTTCCGGCGCAATGCCGGCGCACAACCACCACTTGCTTGCTTCCTAAGTCATGTTCACAGCGACCACTTGGCTGGGATCGAGAGCCTGCGATCTCCATTGTACGTCTCCGAAATTGGTTTGAGTATTCTACTAATTTTATATCCAGCGTCTACTGCTCAGCAGCCACCAAGGAGATCCTTCTTCGTCTTGAACGATATCCTTGTCGCATCAACTATGCTAAGGGGGTGCTAGAATCAAGACAGCAAACCTTCAAGCATCTCCGCAAAGTCTTGGTATGTACACTCTCTATTTCCTCGACCTCATACTGAAGTCAATAGAAACCCTTGCCTTTGGAAACTCCTACATCGATCGAGCTCTGCCCAGGCCGCGAGATCCAGGTAACTCTTTTTGATGCCAACCATTGCCCTGGGGCGGTGATGTTCTGTAGGTTGACAACCAAAAACGACCTTTGCTGTTTCTGACCGAATCAAGTGGTCGAAGGGGATAAAAAAGCAATTCTATACACAGGAGATATTCGGAGCGAACCATGGTTCGTAAATACCATATCCCGAAATCCGAATCTGATCGAATTCACGTCTGGAATAAAGACCCTGGACAAAATTTATCTTGACACGTCTTTCACTGAGGATGTGCATTTTCAGACAAAAGCCCAAGGCATGGCTGAATTGTTGCGAAAGGTTTCCCAATACCCTGGTGATACCGTTTTCCACCTACAAGCCTGGACTTACGGATATGAAGACGTCTGGCTCGCCTTGTCTAAGGCTTTAAAATCTAAAGTCAGTAAGATTGAACTTAAAGCACGCTGAACTCTGGTCACTGATATTTGTAGATTCATGTCGACGATTATAAACTCCGGATCTATGGTTCGCTCAAATCAAGCACCCCTGACTCGAGATTTGACACAGACATTCATCTTACTCCAGAGTCGCCGGCTCTGACTGGCCACATGTGTGGCAATACGCCACATCCAGGGTGCTTAACGTCAGATGAAAATGTCCGGTTACACAGTTGTGAAAAGGGAAACTTATGCAAAGTGGCTCAAAGACCTACCACTATATCTATTCAACCTATCGTTGCGCACCTGCCTACAGGAGAAGATTTGGCCGAAGTTGGCATTGGCGGCGGCGGAGTTGATCTTCAACGAGAAGCCGAGTTGGAGTTTCTGGACCAAGCTAGCTTGGCCACCTTGTTCGATACGTATGTGCATTGTATCACTTTTGCGGGAGGCATGCTAATTGCGAACCTAAGGTTCCTCTCCTCGTCTATCTCTTCATCCGATATGCCAGATATACTCGAAGAGGCCTTAAAGAAGATAGTATCTACCGGACGCAACATTCCACTGGACTGGAACATCAACACTTTGAACGCCCACTCTGCTGAAGAAGTTATCATGATGCTGGTGGAGAAACTGAGAAAGAATACCAAAAACCAGAAGCAGCGTGACGAGGGCAGTCTCCCAAGAACTATTTACTTCCCATATTCAAGGCATTCTTCGTTACCAGAACTCCGCCACTTCGTCAAAGCTTTCCGGCCACGAGACGTGTGGCCATGCACTGTCAATAACGCTGAGTGGCTAAAGAATGGTAAGTAATACATATAGACCTACGCATCTTTAGCTGATGTATGAAAGGGATCACCATTGGGAGCATGTTTGGACCATCATGTTCCGGTGAAGTATTTGAACATGATTTGCTGATGCAGGATTTTGCTGCCACACATACATCGGATGATGGACATCAGCAACATGACAGCCAGACAACGATCGGATCCGACCCCGTCCCAAGCTCACCAGTCCGTGAGTCTCAGGATGCAAGTCAGAAACGGCCTAACAATATGAACACTGGATTCGTGAGCCCTTTGTTGGATACGCAAGCGAGTATTCGCCATGGGCGCATTGTCTCGGAAGCGGAATGCCCAGAGAAGAACCTGGAAGCTCCATCCGAAAATTCTACTCAACAGTCGCTTGTAATCCCTACCATTGAGCAAGCAGAGGACGTGCAGCAAGAGAACCACATTCATCCGGAATTACTGATAGATAACTCATCCAACTCGCCAGCACCTATTTCTTGCCTCCGCAAACGCACTGTTTCTGATACTTCAGTGAGTGAAAATGGCAGTAACAGGCAAAAAATGCGCCAAATTACTGAAGAATCGTTGCCCCTGACATTATCAGACGAGACCTCAATTGGTCGCCAAGATGCATATTGGCATATGGTTGATTACATGGACGAGGGTACTTGGGGTTCGTTCCAGCTTATATCTACGAGCAACGAGTATACAGTCAATGAACCGGAACTGTGATCGAATGTACATTCTATAGTATTCCAATTGAGCAATTCATGTTTCGAGCAAATATTACCCTGCTTCATTCCGGACAGAACACAACGATTTATGCTGGTGCTGGGGGCACCCGTGCCTATACAACAGCTTCAGCGACCATCTGTTTGGGCCACTGCATCATTTCTAAGAAATTCGGCCTGCCGCTTAAACCCTCTTCTAACTTGGCCATCACCTGTCGAGACCAACCCCTCGTGAACCAGAAGCCTTTCTCAAATACTGCCCAGTGCACAAGGTAATGTGCGAAGAGAAGAAGCGCGTGTGGCCTTTGCGCAGCTAAGTCGATAAGTATACTGTCATCAATAATGTATAGCCAGAAATGTGCCGCTGCGACCTCTGCATGTAACCCAGCAGCGGCAAATAATCTCGCAGAGGTTTCCAGACCTTCTACAGCTGATGTATAAGGTTGCAAGCCGCTAGTAGGAATATCGGCTTCTTGGAAGGCTCGAAGCCTTTGCAATGCGGTCCAAGTATCTGTGGGCAGAGACGAGTTCTCGAGAGAGGGGCAGCTATGGCTTGGGTCAGCTTCTTTCGAGGTGAGATCGCAGCCTCGGGCATAGATACCGTTCTGCCTCATCGTCAGAGTCAAGACCCCAGATCCCGAAGACGACAGGAGCGAATTCTGTTTTAACTATGCGCCCCATTGCTGGTTCCAACGTTGTCTTGATGCCCCTTAACAACCCAGCAAGTTCGATGAGATTTGTGATGGGGTCTTCCAGGGCACAGTTATTCATGCGGGTGGGCAGCGTCAACATATGCAGCACAACGAGAGATGCAAAGCCAAAAACAGGCATCCAATTGGTCATGCTATAGTGTTGGAGGTAACGACGATAGCCCTCGGAGCCAAGAGTTTGATGATAGTCAGCCAATGGCAGATACGTCTTGCGATTAGCTGGGACCAGATAGGCCTTGTGGGCTGCGGCAATAGCAAGGATTCCATGCATGACGAAAGGATCTTGATAACCTAGTCTTGGAATTGCGACGCCCCAGACGTATGCCAGATCTTTCCGAACACACAAGGTATCTGCGGTTACTGTGCAGTAGTGATGCATAAGCTCGCAATCGCGGGCCCAGAGTTCATGTGGAGGGAAGGGAGCGATCTGCTGTGTGGGACTGGGGTGACTGTAGCTGCCAAAGGGATCGGGGGAGTTGACTAGATGATGACTGTCTAAGGAACTCAGAGTTGGGGCTGGGGTTGAATCTGAGGGGCTCAAGTTGGGAAAATAGGATGAACGGCTGTCACTGCTGCCGTCAACTGAAGAGATGCCTAGACTGGACAAAGGTTGCGACGCGAGACTGCATGTTACGCCATGTCTTGTGCAGTGGAAACATGATGGCCGAGCTTCATCACACTACTTAGGTTAGACACACAGAACGGCGGTTATGGAGAAGCTTAGATCTCCCGAGGATAGAGCGTTATAGTTTACGAACCTTGACTTTACGCTTCTTACAGTTAATACAGCCTGTCCGAGATTTGGTATGAGTTCTTCGAGAAGACATTGTATGATTGGTTTGTAAACCCGCGGGTTCGTATCACGAACAAACGTCAAAGCGAAGAGAAAATTGAGAGACAGGAGAAAACCAGCTTAGAGACACTCTTTTCACAAGGACTCGGGACAATATAGAGCGAGGCAAATGACGAATACGCGGGAACAGCCTTCTATACGCGTACTCGGAGCCGCTAGGGATGTTTTACGAGAAGAGAGTATGTCAGCATCCTTGTCGTCGGGACGTTGAGGCTCCCGTTGGTGACAGATCGACCAATCTGAAGCAAAGTATGATGAGACGTGAGCTTCATTGGGACAATAATGGATATTTGCGAGTACTCGCAAAGTGTTCGTAGGTTTATCAGATGTACGAGGATGGCCGTGGCTATGCGAAGGGAGTAAATAAGTTGGATGGTAGAAACATAGATTATAAAGAAGATGTCCTGTTTCTTTTGATGGTACAAACTCTAGTACATAAACATTGTTCAGCTGTTGAGCGGTTCTTAGCAGGCTTGTTTCTTTTGGGTTGACTATCCGTACCTGCCCTTTCCCTGCCCTTTCCTGTCCTTTCCTAGCCCTTCTTATTTTACCTACCTATCCTTCAAACTTTATCTAAACTTTGACTGTACATCGGAAACACTAGTCAAGTGGTTAAAATGGACTGCAACCCCAACTACAAGGATGCCGTTTGGGCATTCTATCGATTTGTGCCGTCAAAAGAGGCAAACATTGTGTTTGTAGTTCTCTTCGCGATAACGACGCTCCTACACGTCTTTCAACTCTGGCGAACAAAAACATGGTATTTAATCCCATTAGTTTTGGGCGGAGTCTGTACGTTTTGCCCACATTCCAATTGGCACAGGGACACCGAACTAACCAAGGGTACCCAGGCGAGGTTATCGGATATATCGGGCGGGTTATAAACACGAATGAGGAGCCGGGATGCTGGACGATGGGACCCTACATCATGCAGAGTGTCTTGATTCTCATTGCGCCTGCGCTCTTTGCCGCGTCGATTTATATGATCTTGGGAAGAATCATCCTATTGACGGAGGGTGAACACCACTCGTTGATCAGACGGAAGTGGCTCACCAAGATCTTTGTGTTTGGAGATGTTGCATCGTTTATGCTTCAATCATCAGGTATGGCACTTTGTCTTTGTATGAATCATTGATAGAAATGCTGACTTTTCAGGTGGCGGTCTCATGGCCATCGCAGATCTCAGCAAAATGGGCGAGAAAATCATCGTCGGAGGCCTTTTCGTTCAGCTCTTCTTCTTTGGTTGCTTCATCGTCGTAAGCGCCGTGTTCCACATTCGAATGCATCGAGACCCCACCCCGAAGTCCTTGGAATCTCGCGTAAGGTGGCAGACATATCTCACGACACTCTACGTCACAGGTGTTCTGATCTGGGTGAGAAGCTTGTTCAGGGTGGTTGAGTTTATCGAAGGGAATGATGGGCACTTGATGCGCAGCGAGGTTTGGGTATTTGTGTTTGATGGCATGCTGATGCTACTGGTGTTGGTATGGATGAATTGGTTCCATCCTGGCGAGATCGGACTCCTGATCAGGGGAGAGACAAGTATCACAAATGGACTTGAGCTGGTCAACATGGGAGGATCGGGGAGAAAGAGACTCGATACCATGGAAAGTCTATCTTCTGAGCATAATGTTTGAGCTGGGATAAGAGATTCGCCGTAGCATTGGGATCATGAGATTCTGATGCTAAAATAGAATACCCCATTAGTGCCCCCTGCTCCTCTTCGAGGGGACATAACTAGTGTGTTTTTTATTGTGTTTTGAGTTATGATTTTATCCACGCTTCGACCACCTGAATGGTTGACTTATGATAAAAGCATATATTAAATGGCTTATTTATTGAGAGTTGATATTAGATAAGAGGCAAATAGAGAGTCTATTCTGCCTGAAGGGGAAAAAAGCCAATGCATTATTTTCCCCGAGTCGCTAGATCTATCTCACCGAGTGACGATTAAGTTGATGGCCGACTCCGTAGATGGCTTGAAATCAATCAATTAGTGCCCCCTGCGGCTGGAACCTCCCCCTGTAAATCGAAAGCTTGGCGCATGTACCAGCCAATCACCCAATTCCTAACGTCATCCATCCCCGGGCCTGAGACGGACAAGACATCTCCTCAAACTAACATGATGCATTCCAAGGAAAAAAACACGGACTAACTGCGGCAGTAGCTTCACGGGGTAGTACCTCGGGATGACAATTGACTTGTCAACATGATCGCATTACCATTAACTCTTCAGCTGTGTTGATAAGAAGTGGCGCTTGGCTCAGGTCAGCAGAGATGTGTTTATCTATTAAGGTAGTCCGGTAGTCCCTTGCTTTCTCTTCCTCTCCTCTTGTTTCTTGTGTAGATATTCTTATTAATTGATCGGATCTTCTCTGGAGAAGCATCATCATCATCATCATCATCATCATCATCATCATCATCATCATCATCATCATCATGATGACTGTCCTGGGCGACATGTTGACCGAAGTCACCTTCACTCGCGTCTTGCTCTTTGGCTCTCTCTTCTTACTCGTATCGTTCATTGTCGATTTGCTCACTCAACCGCGTTATCCTCCTGAAATTCCAGTTCTTGGTCACGGTTCAGAGAAATGGTTTTCTAGAATCAGGAATAGTCTCGACTTCTTCACTCAACACCAGGTCTGGATTGGCGAAGGCTACGAAAAGGTAACCCCCTCCAACCCACGCTATCACTACTCGTGTTCTAAGAGAAACAGTATGGCAAAAATGGCCTTCCATTTATTGCTCCAGCGCCTATATCGCGACCTCCAGACGTCATCCTTCCCCGGTCACAAATCGCCTGGATGATGGACCAGCCCGATCGAATCCTCTCAGCAGACCACGCCCACGACAAGATCCTCCACTCAGAGTACAACTTTCTCGGAAAAGATCTCACCGCCGAGCCCTTTGCGAACCGCGTCATGCACAAGTATCTCGCCCGTAACTTGTCATCAGCGATACCAGCAATCGAAGATGAAGTCAACGTTGCTGTTGAGCATGCGCTAGAGACCATGATGAAAGCTGCTGCTGAGAAAGACCCCAAAAATGTCGACGGTGAAGGCTACACCAAGGTCAATCTCTGGGATCTCTGGCTTGCGATTGTCCCCCGTGTTACAAACCGCCTTCTCGTTGGCAACCCAGCATGTCAAAATCCTGACGTCTTGAAGCCCATGGTGAGCTTCACCAACAACGTTGTAGTGAACAGCTTCTTGCTACATGGCTTCCCGCAAGTCCTCCATCCTATTGTTGGCCGTCTCATCACCATACCAAACTATCTCCATTGGCGCAAAGCATCTCGTGTCTTACTGCCGATCATTGAACAGCGCCTGAAAGATATGCAGCGTCAGGAGGCTGGCGACCCTGAGATGAAGAGCTACACGCCTCCAGAGGACTTCATCACCTGGGATATTCGTCTTGCGTTGGCAGAGAAGAAGCCATTTGAGCTTAATCCCATTGTCATCTCTAAGCGGCTCTTACCTATCAACTTTGCTGCTATCCACACAACCGTCTTGACAGGCCAATCTTGGATGCTGGATTTTCTGTCTTCTCCACCATCTGTTCTTGAAACACTGCGCAACGAGATTCTCCAACACAAACCGTCTGAAGGCCACTGGACGAAACAGGCCCTTTCTTCTCTCGTGCGCGTTGACTCCTCCATTCGCGAATCCCAGCGTGTGAGCAACTTTGCCGCCAACCTCGTCGAGCGACAAGTTATTGCAAAAGAGGGTCTGCATCACCCTGACTACGGGTGGACCTTACCGCGCGGGGCATTTGTAACGGTCAACTTGCAAGGAACGCACCATGATGACGAGATCTATGAGGACGCTATGAGCTATGATCCCTGGCGATACTCACGAGTCCGTGAAGAGTGGGAGGCAAAGTCGGCTGAGGAGAAGCAAGAAAGGGAGGAAGAGGCGAAGAAGGTTAGAGGATTGGGAATGGTGACAACCAGTGATGCTCACTTGGCTTTTGGTCACGGTCGACATGCTTGGTGAGTCTCATGGATACCTCTGAGAGTCTTTTTGCTAACATTGCAAAGTCCTGCCAGGTTCTTTGTTGCTCATGAGCTCAAGCTGATCATGGCTGCATTCCTTCTCAACTACGACATCAAACCACTCGAGAAGCGAACAAAGCCTAAGTGGATGGGCGCCACGATCATTCCTCCACTGGACGCATGTATTGAAATTCGACGAAAGAAGTCAACATGATTAAGTCAGCTGCTGCAAAATCTAGCTGTAACCTCCATGGGCCTCTCCGTCATTAAGAGTCACTCCGTTACGCTTATCCTCCATCAACCTCGTCAGCGCCATCACCAACTTATCAACAGCCACTTCAGACGTCTGATGATGAAACACGAGCCTGGCCATGGGGAAGACCGAAACATCCTCCTTTGCGCAATACTCAACGAATGCCGCGGGTGGAATCTCTGCCGCATCCAGATCTAGCAGAATCATGTTGGTATGAACAGGAAGTGTGAACTTGTATCCCGCTGCTTCGAGTCTCGCAGCGGCATCCTTGGTCATGGCGTGCACAGACGGAAACCTCGGGATACTGTACTCAAGCGCGGATAGAGCTGCAGCGGCCATCATACCTGGTTGTCGAGTTCCTCCTCCCAACATCTTCCTGAACCACTTTGCCCGCTCGATAAAAGACTTCTTGCCGAGGATGACACTTCCCATTGGAGCGCCGATGCCTTTAGCTAGGCAAATAGATATACTGTCAAAGCAGGCTGCGTAGGCCTTGAGATCAACACCTTCTCCGATGACGCCGTCAAAGACACGAGCTCCGTCGAGATGCATGGCAATGGGCTTCTGGCCTTCCGGTACAGGGAATGAACGGATATAGTTCGAGATGGCTTGGGCATCTGCCAGGGGTAGAATAGTTCCTGAGAGGGTATTCTCAAGAGAAACGACCCTCGTAGGTGGGAAGTGAACTGACAAGTTAGCTACGTATCATACTTTAGGACAAATCAACATACTGTTCCCATCAGCAATGATGTTCTTCTTGACATCTTCCAACGTCAGATGCACTCCGTTCTTTGCATGAACTGTCGTGACACTCGCCTGCGAAATCACCGGCAGAGCACCACTCTCCCAACAATGCACATGCGCCCTATGATCCAGCAGCACACTATGCGGCGGCTGGGTGAGATGCGTTCTCAAACAAATTTGGTTCCCCTGAGTGCCAGAAACCGCCCACAGAGCAGCCTCCATGCCCGTCAGCTCGACAAGTCGAGCCTCGAGAGCCTTGACAGAGGGGTCCCCTTCAGGATCGTAGATATCGTCGTTTACCGAAGCCTCGAGAATAGATGTCATCATCTCCTCGACGGGGACGGTAACGACATCTGAGCGGAAGTCACGAGAGGCTTTCTCCCTGCTGGCAAGCAACTTGGCTTGGACTTTTGGGGTGAATGGAGATTCGGGGGTTGTTAGGGAAGGCATTTTGAGCTTGTGACGCTGTGTTTTGATGGTGAGTGAGATGGGAGAACACTTTTATGGACTGTTAGAGTCTTTTTATATTGATGCAATTTATATATCTCTGATACCCCACATGTCATGAGGGGAATCTATGTCTGGCTGGTCTGCATTCGTTATCTCTGTGGTGAGTGTTGATCTGAGTTTCCCGCGGGGATGTGTCAGTCTCAACTGCGAGACGGGGGGTTGCAGATCTCGACTCTCTGAACGGAGTTCGGGATCTGATATACTCCAATTCTTTGAGCGTATAATAAACTACAAATGCCCTGGCTTACCGTCTCCCATTAAACTGTATTCACAGGATAGTATCTGTTAGACACTCACCCTCAAGTATGTTCACGCACAGATCACCGGTCCTACAAAAATGCGCCTTCTCATTGATAATAGATACTCAATCCAACATCGATTCTGCTTTGTCTACTCGTCACTTTTTTAACTTGTTCAGGCGCATATGCATGGCAGTCTGTCCATCACCTGGTATCCCCACAGTCGAAATCCGCGGCCAACTCAAAGTTTCCCGCGGTTGCGCGGTTCAGAGAGGACAGTGTCTACTACTTACTCCCAAAAGAGAAGACAAACATTAATTAGCTTCTTAGGTGCATACTAATAGCTCGTCTTCTTGGGTCTAGGGATCGCCTAATAGTGTGAACAAAACCTTTGTTATTCAACAGATGCATTATAACTTAGCCATTGTTGCCTTTCATAGGCTCAGGCTCGAATACGCTCTCTATAGCTACAAGTCAAACCCCAATCCATCTGTATTTCCCAAGAAAATGCCCCCGTTCTTCCCTTCTCTCAAAAGAGCGCCGACGTCCACCCTTCCACCTGTGATATACCGCTCGCTAACACCCAGGTTCACTCTCCTGCTCAGCTCCTCTCTCAGTTGAGCCTTCAAAGCACCCATTTCAGCCTTAGACAGGCTCTTGGCTGCCTGTTCCTTTCTCCTTCGTCCACCACCTCGCCCACCCTTGCCACCACTTGCGTTGACAGCCTCGAGATCTTCAGAGTCGTATTCTACTCCAAGTTCATCAGCTGCATTTCGTAGCCATGTATCGTCGCTGTGGGCCTTTTCCTTGGCTAGCACAGTATCGGCGATCTTTTTGGCCAGGTCCACGCGGGGTTTGAGACGCGATGCCATTTTTCGATCAATAAGGAGAGTCTGAATAAAGTGCTCTCTCTTTGTGCCCGAGCTACGCTCGGCGTGGACTTTGCTTGCGAGACGTCGAGTGGGAAGTACTTCGTCAGGTGAGCACAGAATCACACTCACGCCACTAGCCTCGCCACGAGCTGTACGACCAGATCGGTGGATGTAAGTATCCGCAGATCGGGGGACATGGTAGTGCAGAACTTGGTCAACCTGCTTGATATCGAGACCACGAGCGGCCACATCGGTGGCAATGAGAATAGAATTGCGAGTAGCAGTGAAACGCTCAAGTGAACGAAGGCGCGCCTTTTGTGCCATTTGAGAGTGCAGAGGTAGCGCTGTGAGGTTAAGATTTGAGAGAAGGGGTGTTAGACGGCGAACAGCAGAGATAGAGTTGGTGAAGACGAGAGTGCGGCGACCAGGGTTGAGAAGGAGAACGGTGTAGAGATAAAGATCCTGTGCAAGGTTAGCATGATGAGTCTGTCTGGCTTATCCTGGAAACTCGCCTTTTCCATAGCACCACACTCAATAAGTCCTTCCTTCAACCCCTGAGCCATCTGGCTTACGGGGTTGACATCGATGAATTTAGGCTCACCCCTGAATTTCAGGCACTTCATCAGATAAGCCATCTTCTCCTCATCGCTTCCTGTAGATTTGCCCTTTCCAGCCAATTTGGTTTGAAGGTCCTTGTCGAAAGTTGCTGAGAAGACCAAAGTCTGTCGGGCACTACTCTCATCGTCCTCTTCATCTTCCTCCTCTTCCTCATCTGAGCTCTCTGCATCGTCGCCTGGGCTTTTCCCATCTAGAGCACCAATAATATCCTCTGCCTCCTTGAATTGGCCGACTTTGAAGAGTCGATCGGCTTCGTCGACAACAAGGAACTTGATCTTGGCGAATTTGCTTTGCAAAGCCCTGTCACCACTAAGAACCTCCCATAAGCGACCCGGTGTGCCGATGACAATATCAGCCTTCTCCAATTGTCGCTGCTGCTTCTGAATACTGAGACCACCCGTCACAACACATACGTACGGCGCGCTAGGAAGACCGTCACAGAGTGCCTTGAGATGGTCACCCAATTGCTTGGCCAATTCTCGTGTAGGAGAAAGTACCACAGCCATAGGGCCAGTTCTCTTGACACCCTGCTCCTGCAGCTCCAGCCAGCGCTCAACCATGGGAATACCAAAAGCCAATGTCTTTCCTGAACCTGTCTGTGCCTTGCCGATAACGTCATCGCCAGCCAGAATCTCGGGGATCGTCTTCTCCTGAATCAAAGTCGGCTTGGTAAACTTGAGTTTCGCGATGGCTGAGAGAATCTGAGGTGATAGGTTCAGAGGAACCCAGGCCGCCATGTCGACGTCTTCTTGGTCTGCGTAGTCGTTCGCATCGGCCAACGCGCCGAACGTGTTGCCCCCGCGTGCAGAGGACTTTTGTACGACTTTCGAGGCCTTGTCCAGCTGCTCGTCTTCTTTTTCGGCGCCACTGTTCTTCCCATCCAATTTGTCTTTGTTTTTGTTCTTCTTGGTCTTTTCTTGTTCTGATTTCCCTTGCCCAGCCTTGCCCTTATTCTTCCCTTGAGGCTTCTCGCTCTCCAAGCCACCTTGACCACTGCCAGCTTCGCCGGGATCGATATCCCCGACCTCCACAGGGTCGTCACCAAACCCTTCAAAAGATTCGTCCCCATCGAGAAGTTCTTGTTGAGGATCGATTATGTTGCTCTTGTCGCCGGCCACGAGGAATTGCACTCTGCTACCATCCTTGACCACGTCCACACCCTCGATAATTTCGAGTCCTCCAAAGTCCTCGCCTACCGATGACCAGGCGAGGGCTGTAGCGTCGACGGCTCGGCGCGATTCTTTTCCGCCGGATTTCTTCTTGGAGATGTTCTTTGAGCGTTTCGAGGCGGGACCGGTCGCAGTTGGAAGCTTGCGCTTCTTCGAAGGGGGCACCATTGAATAGAATCGAGTCGCCTCTTTTCAAGGCGATGTCTGTTCCGCTTTTCGCCGTTTCTTTCCGTTGGGGAGTCGGCTGAACTTGGTTTCTGTTGTCGAGTTTGATCTCCAAGTCTGTAGCAAGGTCCCCAATTTTTTGTTTTCCTCCGAACTTTTTCTTAGCCTCTCGTTATCGGCAAAAGCTGGTGCCGATCCGCCGACACCCCACCAACAACAGGACATCAGTCGCTGGAGATTTCTTCGGTTCTCTCGAGCGATACTTATACTTCTGACTTCCTCGGTTACAACAATGAGATGAGATAAGCGGATTTGCAAGACGATCTTACGACGCGAGGTCGGTCATATACTACGATGATACTATAATCTTATTCTACATACTTCGAATAAAGTCATCACTAAGAGGATTCTCATAATAATAATCATTGCAGTCAATCAATCGCCTGTATTCTAACATTAGACGGCAGGAGACTTAATCTTGTAGACCAAGGAAATGTATTTCTTTTTCCATTTAGGAACCCAATAAGTATAGAGACATAATAATGCTGCTGTGACACTCAAATGAACCGTCATCCATTCTCTCATCCCCTTTAATGACCAAAACACAATAATTACATGCCTTTTTCATGTTGTACATTTCGAATATCTCAACCCCGGTGCTCTATTAATGCGCTCCGCGTGCTCGCTTGGCTCCTCCACCAACCTCCGAATCTCCTCGTGGCCGCTTGTTACCAGGCTGGAAATCGTTGGCACTAGGGTTCATACCACCGCGTCCACCACCACGGCCTCCTCGTCCTCCACGGCCGGCGTTGCCATGTCCACCCTCTTGAGGTCCACTGGCTGCACGTTGGCCAGGAGGCACATAAGCTCCTCCCCTTCCGCGTCCGCCACCACGAGGCATAGGGATGCCAGATCGGACTGGCTGTTGGCCTCCTTGTTGTCCCTGCTGCTGAGGTGCCTGCGTCTGTTGCTGACCTGGCTTAGCAGCGGGTGTTACACCATTTTCATTCTTAGTCGCAAATGGGTTTGGTGCAGCCGCTGTTGCAGCGTCAGCTGGAACAGCGAACGGATTGCTCGTCTTAGGGCCGGGAATTCCACTGGTAGCTGGGGCTGCCGCTGCCGCTGCCGCCTGTGCTGACTTAGAGTCTGAGCCTGCTTGTTGTTGTCCCGCCGGAGTTGCAGCTGGTGTCCCCTGAGCAGCCTTAGCAGCTGCTGCGGGTGTTGCAGGGGATGGTGAAGGAGGCACGGCCGCGACCGAACCTTGTCTGGCCGGAGTAGGCTTTGCCACAGCCGGGGTTGCCGGGGGGGCCACAGCAACCTTGGCTACTTCCCAAACCTCAACCACAGGCTTCTGAGGGGTTTCGGAAACAGCCTTCTCGACTACACTGATCTTGGCATTGGCTGCTCTCAGCTTGTTTTCAGCCATGTTGATGCGTAAAGTTGACTTCTTGGACTCCATGAGCTGGGCTTGATCCCTAGCTGCGGCAATCTTGGGTTCATACTCGGTTTTGAGTGTTGATTCCAGCTCCGCTTTGAGTTTGGAGCTTTCTATCTCAAGCTTCTTCTTGATGTTGGCGGCAACAATATTCTTAACTGTAGGGTTAGTCGCCAAGAATTGTCGAATACCAGTGTCATCAAGCTGAGACAAATCGGTTTGTCCAACGGATGAAGGTGTTGCAGGCACAGCAGGGGCCGCTGCTCTGGCCGGTGTAGCAGGGGGTTGATCTGATGGCTCAGTCTTGGTGACCTCAGCGTGTCTGGCTGTGGGGTTCTCGGCGAGCCAGATCTGCTTTTCTTGCTCAAACTTAAGCTTGAGATCCTCGTCCTTCTTCTTGTATTCCTCTTCCATCTTGCTTCGACTCTCCCTCAGCTTAGCGTTCAGAGTATCCCGCATCCTGTCCGAACGCTCCTTGATAGTGGTTTGAATCTTTGTCTCAACCTCATTGGCCTTCTGTTCAAACTCTGCAGCCTTAGCCTCGGCAGCTGCAACTCTCTCTTCCAAAGCCTTCTTCTCTTCGTCGGAGATACTTGAAGCAGGCTGATCTGTGGAATCGGCAGCTACGGGCTCCGCAGGGGTCTGATCGGTAGTTTGAGCAGAAGCATTGGCAGTGGCATCTTGGAGCTTCTTTGTCGCCTCATCACGCTCAGAAATAGCAGTCTGCAACTCATTGCGGAGGGATTCAAGCTGTTGCTCTGCACCTTGCTTTTGTCCATTGATGGCCTCGAGTTCCTTACGAGCATCGGCAAGCTGTTGCTCAAGCTGAGCAACAACGTCGGAAGATACGGAAGCTTCAGCAGGTTGTGCAGGCTGGGCAGGAGTAGGGGTAGAGTTTGCAGTCTGAGCCTGTTGTCGTAATTGCTCGACCTCCTTCTGGAAGTTTTGTATTTGTTGCTCAAGCTCAGACTTCTGGTTTCTCGATTCCTCCGCCTCCTTCTTGGTACCTTCGAGTTCACTTGTAGCTTTGTCCAAGCTCTCTTGCAGTTGATTGGCACGCTGGATGGCCTCGTTCTTCTCTCCGGTAAGTTTCCTTGATCGTTCCTTGGCCTGCTCAACAATCTTGGCTCGTGTGGTACTCCAGTTGTTTCGCTCACTTTCCATGCTGGTTTCGAGTTCGGTGATCTTGGCCTTCAAGGGCTCCTCACCTTGCTTCAAAGCATCACGTTCGGTTTCCAACTCGGTGATCTTCTCCTTAAGCTGCTCCATCTCAGCGGGGTCAACTCGTCCATACTTGGTCAGAATGCCCTCGGTACGCTTCTGCCATCGGTCACGATCCTCCTGGATTTGCTTGATTTCATCCTCGAGGAAAGACTTCTGAGTCTTGAGCGTGTCGATTTCAGCTTCCAGGGGTTGGATACGGGCCTCCATCTCCTCAATCTTCTTGTTTTTCTCGCCGATCTGGTCTTTGAGTTGCTGATTCTCGTTGCGCAATGTCATACTGCTTTCGCGGTAGATATTGAGCTCATTGAGCTTCTCCATGAGGTCCTGGTGTGCCATTGAAGTGCGACCACTCTGGGCAGCCTGTGTGCGTTCTTGGTCAAGCTTGAGACGTGCCTCGTCTAGCTGTGACTGGGTATACTCAAGTTGTTGCTGGAGTCGCTTGGCCTCTTGAGCCTTAAGATCATACTGAACCTCGAGAATCTCCTTCTCTCTTCGGAGGTAACCGTTGAGTTCCCGGAGACCTTCACTGGCGTCTCCCAGGGGAACTGGCGACATTCTTTCGTCCTCCTCTTCTCCACCACTTCGCTTCTGTTGAAGTGCGGTAACTTGTGTAGTCAGGGTTTCTAGTTGTTGGTGAAGAATCTTGTTCTGGGAGTTGACATCTTCTCTTCGAGTCTTGAGTTCTGCCATCTCCTGCTCCAGCCGCTGTCGACGTTCCTCCCAAGAGCTTTCGCTTTGAGCAAGGGTAACCTTTGCAGAGTCCGCTTCTGACTTGAGCGATGCAGCCTCGCTCTTGAGTGCATTGTACTCAGTTCGTAGTTGCTGAACAAGCTTAGCAGCCTCAGCATGCTTCACTAGTTCCTGCTCATAGTCTTGCTGGGCCCTGGAAGCGATTTCAGCTTGAGCACGTAGATCTTGCTGATGGAAGCGAGTTGCCTCCAGGTGCCTCGCGCTCTCCTCCTTCAATCGCTTCACCTCCTCTTGTAATATGGACTTTTCATCCTCATATCGTCGTGCAACCTCACCCTGAGAGTCACGTAAGCTAGAGAGCTCGGTGTTAGAGCGAGACAACTCCGCCGATAGGTCCTCTGCACGCTGGCTAAGCTCCTTGATTTTGGCGTCCTTCTCCTCAATGATGGCCTCCATCTCTTGTCGGTATTGTTCTTGAGATCCCCGTAGATCCTCAAGCGCCTCTTCATTAGCCTGGCTGAGCTCCTTGAACTGCTCAGCCTGGGTCTTCGCGTTCTCGAGATATGTATTGGCCATGTCCAAATTTCGCTTCAGGTCGGAGATCTCGACGTTGAGATCCTGGATTTCGTTTTCGAGTTGCTGCTGTTGCTCGCTAACCTCAATGGTACCAGGTCGGGGCGTAGGTCGGGGTTGGAGTCTTCCAGCTCGTTCCTCAGCGTTTCGTAACTCAACCGTCAGCTCATCAACGCGAGCCTGAAGGTGATCTCTGCTGGTCTTAGCAGCGACATGCTCCTCACGAATCTGGCTCAGGCTTGTCATGAGTTCGTCAATTCGCTTCTGTGACTCCTTTGACTCGAACTCCTTCCTAAGTTGCAACTTTTTGGTTTCCTCTGCCTCATAACTGAGCTTTCTCTGGGCGTCGCTCAGCTCCTGCTCGAGGCTTTCAATCCTGGCCTGCGCTTTGCGTCGGGCTTCCGAATCAGCCATGTTGCGCTCGTTTTCGATCGATTGCTGAGTTGCTAACAAATTGTTGAGTCGATTCTTTTCCTCGATAAGGTTCTCGTTGTCCTTGCTTAGTCTATCCTGAATGTCCTTCCAAAGCTTTTTCTCTGCCTTCAGGTTCGCAGTCTCATTACGAACGCTATCAAGCAAACCTCTGGCTTCAATAAGTTCTTCAGCAACCTGTTGCGTGCGAATATCTTGCTTAGCAGCAGTCTCGGACAAGGACTGCGCTCGCTTTTGAAGTTCATGGTTCTCACTTTGAAGTGCCACAAAGTTGGTGTGTAACATTTCACGCCTCTCAGACTCAAGGCGGGTTTCGGCTTGAAGTTTAACCTTGTCGGTCTGTAGGCTGTTTCGTTCGGCTGAGAGAGCATCTATCTGGTCGCGTAAATCCTTACGAACTCCGTCCTGCGCCTCGCGGTAGTTGTCATATTCAGACTGAAGCTTGCGCAGTGCCTCGTTTAGAGCCTCGGTTTGCTCAGTTGCCTCGATGCTGGCCAAGGGTAATCGCTCGCCACCAGCAATGGAATTGCGCATCATAGATGCTTCATCACCGTGAACACCCCGTTGCTGCAAAAGCCTTCGGAACATATCACGCTCTGTCTTGAAGCTCTCCATCGTCTTCTTGATAGATCTTGCCTCCTCGGTCATGTGACTAAGTTCCTGCTGAAGCTTCTCAACCATGTCGTGGTCTTGCTTGGCCTGGTGCTTCTCTGCGAGTGCTTCCTCGCTTTCCAGTTGGTTGGCAAGCTCGCGAGTAATGCGAAGAAGCTCTTCGTTCTTGGCCTGCAGAGACTGAATATCCTTGAACACCACCAGCTTCTGCGTAATGAATTGGTGAGTGTCGGACATGTCTGACAGAGCCTCCTCTGAAATCTCTCCTTTCTGTAGCTGTTGAAGTCGGAAAGTTTCTTCATCAGTGAGTCGGTCTGTACCCTTCTCCATGGCGTGGATCTGGAATAATAACATGTTTATCTGAGTACCAAGATCTCGGAGTTGAGTGCGCAGAATATTTGTTTCAGATTGCGAGGTTGCGAGTGCGCTCTCTGCTTTCCTTGCTGCTCGCTTTGCCTTGTCTCGTTCCTCAAAGCTGTTTTGAGACAACTCTGACATTCGAGTAATCTCTTCGCGAAGCTGTTCAGCTTCAGTTTGAAGATCTTGGATCTCGGGGGCCTTTGCTTCTAGAGCAGTCATCATATTATCGAGCTCCTCGGAGAGCTGAGCGTTGCGACGCTTTTCAGTAGTAAGTTGACCCTTCACTCGGTAGAGCTGGTCAAGAGCCTGAGTGGTGGTTATCGTACCCTTAACTCGCATAGACGGTGTAAACGGAGAGGAAGGTGGCATCAAGGAGCCGTTGGCACGAGGAGTTTCTGGTGCAGATTCGGGTGGTGGTGCGTGCTGCTCCATACGAGCCTGAAGCTCGTCAATTTCGGACAGGAGTTGGTTGTTGCGTTCCTCCATTTCACCCGTGGTCTGGCGCTCTTTCTCAAGCTCGCCTCGAACGCGTCGGATCTCGTTCTCGTAGTTATCGCGAAGTCGCTCCTTTTCGCTTTCAAGATCATGCACTCGTTCTTGGTGTTTCTTGCTCAGCTGGTTAGACATCTCAACCAAACGTTTCTGAGCTTCAAGCTCATGCTTATAGCTCTCGATTGTCTGCGCAAAGGTTCCCTCCTGGTTCTGAACCTTCACCAAAGCTTCATCCGCCTTGGCTTGCATGGCGTCGAGTCGAGTGCGGAGCTGCTGTTCTGTTCTCTTTAGGGATTCAACCTGAGATTGAATGTCTTCATTTTGTCGCTGGAGCTCGGCAATACGGGCACCCTTTTCCTTTCGGTACTTGAGGCCCTCCTCGCTCTTGGTCTTGAGTTCATTCTCTAGCCATTCGCTGTTCTTTCGGGCAAGATCGAGCTGTTGTTGCAAGGATTCTTCTCGGTACTTCGCACTATTGAGCTGGCCCCGTGCGTTCTGCTCCGATTGTTGCAGTGCGGTGATCTCGCGAGAAAGCTCGACATTACGCTGGTGCTGCTTCGTGAGTTCTTCAGTGATAGTCTGATCGCGCTTGTTGTTGGATTCAATAATGCTCAGGTTGGTTCGGTTCGAAGATTGGAGGGTTTCAATCTTGTCATTCAGGGCCTTGACCTCAGCATCGTAATCCGATTTCTTAGATTTGAAAACTTGAAGTTCGTTCTCGAGAGATTGTCGCTTCGTTTCTGTGGGGCAAGCGAATGTCAACAACCATCTAGCTTGGTTTCGCAGTCTGTTAAAACATACCTTCGTCCTTGAGCAGCTGCCTAGCCTCTTCAACATCTTTGAGGGCCTTGTCCGCAGTAGCTTTGAAAGTTTGCGATCGCGTTTCAGAGCTGCGCACCGCGTTCTCCAGTTCAATGTCGGTCTGGAGCTTTTCGGCGTAGAGGGTATCAAACTCGTGCGCTTTGGCTGCGACAGCCTGCAAAACAAGATTGACGAGCTCAACGGTCGGTTCTGTCGCTAGAGACGCGATGACAGGCTGGTCGAGGCCGAGGTGGCCTGCGACGTAGCCAATGTCCACGTCTGCGGCCGCCATGGTCGAGGTCGGATCAGGTCGATAGCGCGATACTCGTCATTACCGCAGCTACGCGCTCGAGGAGGAAAGCCAAATTAAAGAGAAACCCAAGTCTACGTCGGTTGTCGCTTCGATATGTGTCTATCAGATCAACAAATGAGGGTGAGACGTTGATGAAGTTCTCCGACAAAGGAAATGGAGCCTTTGTTGTTGGAGAGACTAGGAAATTTGGAGCTCCAAAGCTGAGATGCAACACGCCAACGTTTGCTACTGGGGAAGCAACGGGCACGGGCCAGCTGCAGGTGGAAGCTGCCTTTGTACGGCGCCCAGTTTTTCCGGCCACCACACGCTCACCCTACACCTTGAGCCTCAATCACACGCTGTCGTAACGTTATGGATATGAGGTGGTGTGGAAAAGCACCTACTAATGCATGTCTTCTCTAGTTAATTATTAGTGAAGAAACTGTGAGCTACTCTTGTAAATTGCAACCACATTGTGTCTATGGGTCGAATGCGCTTGCGTCCCACGAGACATACCTAATCTGAAGTCTCACCCATTTCTCACAGCCAGATCGGTATCGCAATGTGCAACCCTCCGAAGAGAATATAAAATATCATGGATCAAATATAATCAAAGGTCCTTACTAACATTAAAACTACAAATCTGTCTGGTATCCACCAACAACCCATGATTGAATTACTTCTATTACCAAAAAGCAACCATAACGCCACTCCTTGAAGCCATTCCAAGAATAGAGGAGATCAATGTCCTTCTATCGACTACGTATATTCGAATCCAACTCATAAGCCTCCACAGGCCCTGACTGAAAACCCATTCCATGGAGGCCAGAATATGCTGGCGCAGGACTCACCGGCGACACATATTCTGATTGTGCTGGTGAATTACCCCAGTTAGACTTTGCAAGGTGAGCCTGAAGCTCAGCTGTGGGCGCATGATTAGGAGGGAGCTCTGAAATGCCCTGCCCCCCGCCAAGTTCGGGCTTGAAGGAAGTGGTCGATGACAATTCGGAAACAATTGGGGGTGCAGTGTGTCCCTTGATATAAGCACTATTGCCCATGAGCTCTGGATGCCCAGTATATTCTGGAGGTCCGTCGGCGTCGTTGGAGAGTTCTTCGCCCTTGGCTTGACGTTGACGCTTTCTTCGAATACAGAGGAATAGTCCCGCGCCAAGAGCGGCAACCACGACAGCGCCAGCAACTCCTCCAGCGATCGGCGCGATACTCGTCTTTGATTCATCCTCCTCCTTTATCCTCATGGCTAGGGTCAGACTGTTTTGCAGTGTTCGAACTAGAAGTTGCAGTTGGGCCAGCTGAACCAGTCATTCCTGGAACCGTTGTCCCTGGGCCAGCTCCTGAACTAGCAGTCGGATACGACTGGAAGATCGATTGGCTGACAGTAGCAACAACCAAACTCTCGGCGGCGCTGCAATAGTACCGAAAGACGTCGATGGCGGATGTGACGTTGGCAATGTGAGTGCTATCGCAGTAGTCCTTGACTCGCTCAGTTAAACTGCTAGAGATGATCTTTGACATCCCTGACTTTATGCAGATGCATGAAGCCAGCTCTTGAGGACCGTCTCCACATAGCCAGGAGCTTTGCTACACTGTTATTAGAGACAGGATCATATGTAGAAACATTGGGACTCACCTCCATGACTGCAGAAGCTATCCCTGACTGGGCACATTTGTTGAGACTTGAAATGCGGCATGGCTGTGATGTAGTATGACACTGATAGTAGCAACATTAGAATGACTCTATCAGATATGATTCAAGACTCACTATCTCCAGGAGGCCCTTTCGGGGGTGTAAAGGACGTTGTGCCGTCGTTCATCTGACAGAATTCGCTGTAGAAGTTCTGGGCCGAAGTGACGTCTCCGTTGTTGGAACATGAATACTTCACGGCACTCTTAAGTGTTGAAGTAATATCTTGAACAGCATCTTTCTTGTTACAGACACACGGCGCATTCAACTCTGCAGCTTCAGGGCACCTTGACGATCCCTATAATTCATGTTAGACAGGCCAAGCCTCCATCACTGGACTTTGGAAGCTTTCATACAATATTGACCACGGCGTATGATAATCCCGACTGCGCGCAAGGAGGGAGATATGCCAACTCAGGAAGATCTGTTATATATACCTCCACAATATTCTTGGTTGGCGAAAAGAAAGTGATGTGTTCCTCCTGGCTGCAGTACTTCTGCATCAGCTTGGACGCACTTGATAAATCCTCCGTCGCGCTGGAGCCGCAGCTGTATTGTATATCGGTCGAGATCGATGAGGCAACTTCGTCCATTCGAGTCGAGCAGATGCATTTCTGTAATTCGGTTTCTGAGTCCCCGCACATGGTCGAGTATGTCTGCATCCCGACATTGTATAAGATTGCGCTGGAAACACATGGCGCCTAAACAGTCAGTATTGCTCTGATGCTCTTCCCAGGTGCCGTAACAAGTAGGTAAAGATCTCGAGGTCAGTCACGTAAGAGACATCTTTTGCGGTAGTCAGGACAGCCAAGCCCAACAGACCGATCCACGAGAGGCCGTGTAAGTGCTTCATTGTATAGACTAACACTATAATAAAAAAAAAAACACACCAAAAAGCACAGAAAACAATGAAACAAAGATCCTCACACTCAGCGGCGCCCAATAACGTTCCGTCTCGAAAAGGAGTCCTTCATCTTGCCAACAGCCAGACTATTCTGTAAAATGCCCTATTGTCCTGGTGTGAAGCCTCAAACAGCGCCTCTTGAGTCTAGATACAAATTGGGTCAGGACCCCTGAGGCTAGCTGAGATAACTTGTCTACCTTCAACCTAGCTTGTACAGGACACCATCAGCTGCATTTCATCCCACCACCCGAGCATATAGTGAGTCAGGTCCTGCATCTAAAGCAAAGAATAGAGTTATCTCATGCTTAAAGAGAAAACTACTCAGATGAGACAGCTGCTGAGAGTTTATAAACGAAGTGTTTCATAGTTGAGGGTGCGTGCAGAAAAGGTCGACTCAACCATCACAAGACGTTGGCTTTTCTTAGCGCCCCTGGGCTGCATGCTTTTTGTTCGACCAGAGCAACAGACAAACGATTTAATTTCCCTTGAATAGAGAGGCTGAGTCTCACCAAGTTATATACTGAAACTAAAACTGGATGGAGATGGAATTATCCTTTAATCAAGAGCTCAATGTTTCATAGTTGACTCAGGTCTCACACGTTATTTCCAAAGTGTGTTTCGATGACCAAAACACTCGTTTGTCTCAACTGGTCCCAGTGGAGGTCAAAGCGATACCTGAATTGGGAATCAAGACTAGCCGGTGGATGCATACTCCTGATCGAGCTAGCCCCCGCGCCACACGGATAGTGACTGAAGCGCACCTCGGACCATTGGCTCTCCTGAACTGACCTCCAGGTTCAGTAACTAAGACAATGCCAAGGATTGAATCACTCACGACATGAGACGAGTCAGCGACGAGAGCAGGCGACACGACAGCGCATACTGTGAGAATGGTGATCATTTGACCAACAGGTGATGGAATAGAAGGCGATCAACTGATGTGGTGAAGAAATGGCTTTGCAGTCTCGATAGAGTTACCCGAACATGAGTCTACTAACCCAGGTCTTGTCTAAGTGTTGGCCGGGTACGTAACTTTCCAGGTTCTCCGGCTCTTAAGACCGCGGCAGTTAATTTTCCCTTTACCATGACGTCGACTTTTCCCTTCAATCCGATCATATCTCGATGTTGCAACGACGGATCTTGGGTGATGTCAGAATAGCGACGATCTAGCTTCAAGACAAGGTGTTTTCCTTGGTAGTGTTTATGGTTGTTGTAGACCTCCAAACTTTGAAGGTTGCATCAAGAGGAGCCATCCAAATTTTCACGTCGATCACTCAAGAATTGCATGGCTATGGAAAGTATGTATCAAAATTATTTGGTAGATTGTTCGTTGCTGTACTATAGTAATAATATGGTAGCTGTTATCCCTCAGCTGTGATATTGGTGGTATCCCGTAATCCGTAATTGTCCGGTGCCATTGCATACATGTCCATAACGCCTTGCTAATACTCAGAAAACATAAGAAACCATTATGTGGCTAGTATGGCGGTTGCTGCGAACTTGGCTAGTGTCCCAACTCCCGCTTTAAAAAAAGCACTATGATATCAAAGACAAAAAGAAATATTCGTAGAGTGGTAATATGTAAGCGTTTATAGGACTCGCACAATCTTGGGAACACGATACCGCGAGGGGCTGTCGTAGTACTCGCTGATCATGCCGCCCTGAAGACCCATAGGTCTCCGGGGAGGCAATCTTCCGTTGACACTCTGGTCTCGTGCGGAAGCTGTCTTGCGCGAGTCGCGGCTATGCTCACGCTTATCTTGTCGCTCTGAGGAGACTTGGCGGGAGCGTTCAGAGTTATGTGTCTCAGAGGAAGATGTCCTGGAACTGGCGCGAGATCGGGATCTTCGAGGGCTTGCGTGATCCCAGCCAATGGGCTCTTCCGAGATTTCGTCAAGGAGATCATCATCGCTGTCCTCCTCGTCGCTTTCAGGGTGGAAGGTACTGTTGAGGGTCTCCCAGAGATCAAGACCAAGATCGTCCCAGATGACGACAGCCTTGAATAAACGACGGCAGGCTTGTGTGCCAGCAGTCTTGTTGAGCCTGGCAAAAGACTCGAGCTCGCCTAGGCTAGGTAGGTTCTCCCAGGCAATGGAGATCTGATCGGATTGGTCCTTGAAGGGGGATCGCTCAAGGTAGTAGAGGAGGAAGTCTGAAGTTTCGGCCTTGGTTGCGAATTCAGCTTCCTCGAGAGCCTGCAGGCGAAGCTTCTCTTCTTTGTCCTTTTGCTCCTGTTCTTGTTGCTGCCTCTGCTTGCGTCTCTTGGGTACACCAAAGAGTGGGACCTTGGGGACGTTGGAAGTGGTTCCTCGGAGCATCGTTGCGGTGTTATGAGTTGGTGTTGACGTTGTCGAGGTGCTGTATTGGTATATATGGCTGAGCCAGGTCGGCTGATGAGCTGGAGGGGTAGGAATGGGTTGTTGGTCGACGGGGAAGCAAACAAGACAATATGCGTGTCAGGTTGTTGCTATTAAAGGATGTTTATGCATGCGTGTATGCAAGGTGAGAGAGAGCACAAACACGACCCAAGCTTGTTAGACGTTTCAAGAGACCAGCTCGTCGAAGCTTTTGGATTTAGTACTGCTCTAGGGAGATGCAGCTGGAAAGCAGAATGTCTTGATGGGAAGAGCAAGATGGGAAAAGTTGAAGTGGTAGGGGTGCTGGCAGATGGATATATGAAGAATTGGATTGGATCGAAATGAATGACACCCTGGGCCTTGTTCCTGGTCCTTTTTGTTTGTCTTTTGTTGTGTTGCGCTGACTAGCCCGGGACCGGGGGGTGTAGGTAAATGTGATGAGGATCCGCGGTTATTTTGGTGGCAGAGGTGAGGTGAGGTAGCCCGTGCTTGTACTGTAAGGTACTGTAATAGGTGGTAATTGTATTCTCGGTTTCGGAACTTCGCGGATTGGTTGGTGATCGTGGAAAAGAGAGATCAGCGCGTTTGAGAAACGGGGGAATAGAGGATGCTTTTAACATCTTTGTTTCTGGCTGCTTGCTTTTTCTCTTCCGACCCCTTGGCTCGTAAAATCTACTCCTTTCAGCCCACCTCAGGTTTAAGTTGTTGTTTTAGGCTGGGCTGGGCTGGGCTGGGCTACTGTAGCCTCAGCCATCAGCTGTAGGTACCCCCCTCTAGTGCAGGTCCGTAATTCCATTTACCAAAAACGCCAGAGCGGATCCGTGTCATCATTGAGAATCAGAAGCTGCTGGAGACATGACCTGGAGGCGCCCAGCCTGGGCTTGCGATGGCTAATTTAGTCGCAACGGTGTCGGTGTACCTAGGTGGGTGAGAAGGTTACTCACTTCATGTACTGTACTGTCGCAGTGTATGTACGAGGCCCGGGCAGTGCTACAGAGTTCTGCTAAAATGATCACCCACTGATTTTCCCCTTGTCTTTCCCAAAAGTCTGGTCTGCCAAGAAGACAAGCGAGTAAGGCGCACCAGTCGCCAGAGCAGAAGACCCCAGCAGAGTGAGGCATCAGCGGGTTTACCTGAACCTAGGTACGGTAGCGAGTTTTGATCCTTGTCCCGTTTTGTCTTTCATTGTCTCTCCGATGCATCTGATTTCTGGTTTGTCTCATCCCGAGTTTGGGGGTTGTTCACGAGGATGCTTCGTGAGGATCAGTCGACAATTCTATTGGTTTCGAGTCGATACAGTACGGTTACGAACAGACGGTTCAACATTAGCCGGCTGGAGGGGCGCCAAAGCCAAACCGTACTGCACAGTAAGTAAACTCGGAATAGAGGCTATTTGCTTTTCCCCAGCTCCCGCTCAGCCCTTGAACTGTTGAAATGAGTTGTCTCGTCAAGACGAGGTAAGAAAAACTCATGGCCTCTCGCCGAAGCGACTAAAAGACTTGAGTAAGCTTAGGATATTTTATCATAACTCTAGACTATATTATTTTGGCACTCTGAATACACGTCAGAAGTTTTCTTACTCCCTGAAGGCTTGTCAACGTTTATTCATCTGAGTTGACGTGGTTGTCAGACGTCCCTGATCGGCATGTGAGTTCGCCGAACCCTATAACCCAACATCTTACGAGCCCGGCAATGTCTCGTTTTGCCGGGTTACGGGTTAGCTCTTTGCCAGAGGAATGCGGTATTCGCTCGAATCACCGCTCTCTTCTCTTGTATTGTCTGGTCTGTCTCGCCTTTCTATTGTGAAGCTTTCCATTGTAAAACGCGAGGCGTTGCTGCTCGTCATGAATTTTGCCTAATCCTCCGCGGAAGCCGAGTGACCGAACGGATACTGTTCGTTTGAAACCACTGTTTGCTGCAGCCATTACGGTCTTGGATGCCTAATTGGTTATCACGAGCAGAGACAATAAGACGCTATTTCTGTTAGGTGCAGCAACATCAGGATTATTGTGAGCGTTCCGTGATTCCGACTCCGTCCCGTCATTAGTGTCAGTACCCGCCAGTTCCTAGTCTCCGCTGCAGTACGATCCCGCCCGTGCGAAGGAGCAGTCCTGGCCTGAGCCCTGAGGATGATTTAGATGGTGGATGTACCTGGTCGGCCCGTCAAAAGGAGGCACGGACACAGATGGACAGGTCACGCCAGCCAATACTACTGCACCCTAGGCATCTCGCACGGTTGGGGCACCCTTGGGACTGCTCATGATAGGTCGGCTTCTGTTCCGGAGGCATAAATGGGACAAGGCAGGGGAAGAGACGAGACGAGGCGAGACCCCAAAAGCAAGGGACAAGTACTTTGTAACGAGCCAGCCTGAGCCAGGAGAGAGAAGAGAGGAGAGGGAGCGCTGAAACGCCAACAATTGGTAGCATTCCCCGTGTCCCAGGAACCCGGAACAAGAACGACAATCTGCCTTTTTCCCGGCATCGCAAACTAGGCCCTATCCTGTCGAGTAACTTTCTGAATGTCCAGTGTCCACGCAATCAATAAATGGACCGCCGACGCCAAGGCTTTGAAACTGTAGCCTCCCTCTACCACGGCTAAAGCCATCGAGGCGCAACTTTGTCCTCAATAAGTATGTATGTACACCATGTGGCACTTGACTCGTCGTTGAGGCTTCAAGTGCCTATCCAAAATCCACTCACCACTTCTGGGCACCCCCGCTTTGCTCAAACCAGAATGCGATCAGCGAATCCCCAGCTTGTGCAGCGTCTAGACTCCCAGGCTAGCCCGACCCTTTGAAGCTATCCCTAGCTGTTCTTTCACGCCAGTCATAGCTCAATGTATATTTTGATATCAGATCAGATCAGTTGCACTAATAAAACCTCAACCAACAAGACTGTTGAAGTCCACAGCACGAGGCGTCTGTGTTTACGAGTCCGCCGCTTTTCTGATCCCACTGAACTACCAATAACTGTTTTTTCACAGGCGTATTCGAGGCTTGTTCGTATCCCACAAGACGACCTTCCACTACACTACCGCACCTCAAACGAGCTACCATGACTTTTCGCCCGGACTCTGCCCGTAGTCAAACCCTCCACTTCGGTCCGCGATGGGGACCGGAGGCTAACCCACATAACGGCTCCGCGCTTCCACGCAATCCTCCGGTGACGGAAGTCCCTGAGATACCCGTCGCTCGAAACAGTGACATTCCATGAAACCTTCTCTCTTTCTTCGGTCTCCCCAGACTCATACTTTTTCCATGCCTCATCTGACGGCATATACCTAAAGGGCGCTTCCGCCGAGAAGGAAGAAACGTCCAGAAGGAAACTCTGCCTGGGCTTTGCATACGTAGCACGTTCTCTGTACCGTCTGTCGAAGTTAAAGGGCGCGGCTACATTCCAACCATCCCCCTACGCGCAACTCCTACCCCGAAGAGGAATCACCTCTCGGGTAACTCGTAAATCCCCCAGTCCGAGGGCGACAGCTGCGGCAGCGGGTAGATGAGGCTCCTAGTCAAGATTAAGCAATCGTCAAAGCTGTCATGGAATTCAGCAATGAGGCCTGTGCATTAGGCTTCGAGTGTGACGTCTATTCAGAGATGTTTTTCGGTCACTGGATGAACGAGTATAAGGATTGTGGCTGAAGTCTCTTTCTCCCTGAACAAACTCTCACTCAAGATCAGTAAACAAAATACATCGAGGGTCTACTCGTGGAATGAAAAAGGTCTCGGCGATCAGAACAATGCCGAACAAAAGACAATCGACTCTATTGTCATCTCTTTCAAGACTGGTCTCGCTCTTTCGATGTTGTCCCTGAGAGCCGATTAAGATCAGACAAAGCTTGGATGAACTATGACCAACAGCATAAATAAATCAGGCACAGGTCCCTTGAATGGGTAATTTCAACGTGATTGAATTTTGCAAACTCAAAATTGCCTAGATTCTATTCCCATCTTCAACCTCAGTCTTAACAAGGGTATATCACATACCTACAGACATTCATGGCATGTTTGGCATAACGGCATAAACATTGTTTCTCTTAGCTGTTCATGCAAGTCACAGCAAACACCGCTATGCCATCCGTGCGAACTATCTCTGCCTAATGCCTGATCTACCCGTCTAATTTAGGTGACATGATCCTCCTCCATCTTTCATAGACCCGTGCTAGCAGCTGCCTTGCCGATTCAAGACCCCAGAATCTGGTAATTAGTGTGCGCCATACCAAAAACCGCCGCGTTCGATAGCCCCGAAATTCGCGGCGGCGGCATGGTTCTGTGCAACCGAGCATCCAAAGTTAAAAGCCTTATGCTAAGCGAGCTGGAAATAAGAGAATTGCTTGGGCTCGTTGAAGGGGAGACTAATGCACGCACGTCTATGTACCAAAGATGCCTTGCGATGTTGACGATATTGGAAAGCGGCTTTTTCTTTGAACGCCGGAGCAAAGCTGGCGACTAACGGCCTTATTGGAGCATCTAGCCATTGCCAAGAAAGAACTAACGAATACTAGGTAGGCAAGCCCCTATAGGTAGGGAATGAAGAGTTCCGGCATAAGATAAGCTATCTCTCGAAATGCTTCATATGGCCATCTCGAGAGGCAGATTTTGGGTCTTGGCAGCCAATTGAAGATAACGGCAAGGACCTTCTTCCCATGGATTAAACGAACGGGCTTGACCAAATCGTTGGCTTTGATAGTGATGGATCCTTGAGTTTGCAGCCTAAGGGATCGGATGGATAATGGAGTCCTTACCAAGACTTTACTAACCTCTAGCACGAGGCACTCAATATTGACAGCAACCATCAAAAAGACCGTGGAATTGACGCAAAGGACTGTTCAAGAGATGGAGTTCTTGGCTCTTGGCAATAATTTCATACCATTCTTCGCATCTTGTGAAAGTCACATCGAAGCAATCATCATATGGCTTGGCCGCCCAAAGCCTCCTGATCGCTTAGGACTGGATCTCCGAGGAGCTTCTCCGAGAAAGAACCCACGGCGTGTAAGATTATGCACATGATATTGATGTGAGGGGCTTGGTGAGTTCTTTTTGTTCGAGGAATCAACCGGGGGTCGAGCTGGGCGAGACTACAGACATGAACTAATGGGTATAATACAACATGCTCAACACTGCCGCAATGTAGAGTCTCTGGATGGTTAGAGAATGTCCAAACTCGGGTCTTTATAATATCGAGGTTCCTGATTTAGACATTGTTGTGTTATCTTTGAAGCAATAGCAATCTGTGGGAGGATTTGAGTGACACAGTGATGGATGTTTGCAAAGTTCTCAACGAGGTAGTTATGCCCAAACAACAAAACCCAGTATCAAGTGTGCAAACAATCGCAACAACGAATGAGTCGCCTAATTGCTATGCTAGGAGCCTGGGGCCGGAATATATGAGTTTCCCATGGTTTCCTGGCACAAGCCAGCAACTACTTCGAGGTGAATAGACTCGACTTCATTTGCAGTTATTTTCATGGAACCGTTTTTGTGCACTCTTTCATGTAGTATTCACCACTTTGTTTGTCTAAAGCCGGTCACTTGTGGTGCTGAAAGTGCTAGAATTGTTGACTCTGTCAACTGTGAATACCCTCACTTCCCAGCAGTGGCAGCTTGGGCTAGCACTGCCGTGCAGCTGCCAGAGCACTTCCCACTGGGCGGTTGCTGGGCAGTGAATTTCACATCAACATTTCAAAACAGGCAGAGATTTGTTTCATTTTCATTTCATCAAACTCGTCTGCGCCGGTTCCACAACATTGCTCATCTTTCGCTTCACTTCACAACAGTCGTTAATGAACCACTGCACTTCATCGTCTGCATCCCTTCACTAACTTCACCATTTCTACCACAAAACTCTCAAGTAATCACTGATATCAGCAAGGCCCAGTCACCATGTTCCGCCGTCACTCCCGTCTTACTTATGACCCGAAGCAATTTCCCAACTACCGCCCCTACCCCGAAACCGGTTTCGAGCGCCTCATCAAGGAGTGCCCGAATGTATTTCACTTCATTGCTTTCACAATCAAATTTCAGATTTCTATTTTCAGTATCATTCTGGAGTGGTTCTGTATGATGCTTCGCAGTCCTCTCCAGTACTCCAAGCACAACGATTGGATCGTCGGCCACTACGAGGCAAGCCCTACTACTTCTCACATGCTCTGGGGAGCCTTCATCACTGCCTGGTCCTTTCACTTCATGTACCGTATCGGAAAAGCTGTTTGTGAGGTGATCATTGATGCCTATGACGACCCTGTGTGGGCTCTTTACGAGATCTGGGATCTCGGGGTGTCCTCGCAGTTCTTTCTTGTCCGCACCATCTTTTTCATCCTCACTACCATCTTCAAATTCATCTGCTTTTGGACCGTCTTCCTCTTCAACATGTCGACATACTCATTCGTCGTCTGCCTCGCCCTGCTCTGCGCTGTTGCCATGTGGCAGCTACACTATTACTTTTTCGTGTATCGCCCTCAGGAAGTGCCTGAAGAGATCTTGTATGAGTCCCCCCAGAAAGAAGTTCTTTCTACCCCCGACAGACCTGGCCGCTGCTTTCGAGTACCTACACCTTCTACTGGGTCGTCCACTTCCTCCCGATCATCACCTGGGCATAGTCCACCTCACCTTCGACCCCGACCATCAAACAAACCCCCTGGCGCTGCATACGTCAACGTATCCCCCAAAGCCATACAAAAGCTTCATGACGAAGGAGTCTTCGTCCCAGAACCCACCAGAGCTGCCGACTACTCTTGGCTGGAACCCTTCGCATTTAAACGCCCTACCAACTTCAGCCGATCTGATGCAAAGGCGCACTTCCGAAGAGTTAGAGAAATCGAGAGGAAGAAAGGCATAATATCAAACAGCCCTGACCCTTATAAGGACGATCCTCCCTCTCCTACTGTTATTACAAAGACCGCGTGGATTTATTCTAACATGGATGCTGTCAATCGACTGCTTCGAAACATCACAGACGATATCACCGAGATGAACATCCTGCTTAACACTTTCAAAGACAAAGGCAGCGTCAAGCCCCTTCCCGACGCCTCACCTACGATACCATTGTCGCCCCGAACACAACGGCGAAACGCTACTCTCGCTGAGGTAGACCGCATTGGACAAGTAATTAATGACTGTACACGTGAGATCAACATTCTCTCAGAGCGTGTCTATAGCCGCCAGCGCTGGACTGAAGATACGCTGAATCACATCGATCGTCTGGTTGTCCACGCAGGAGATGCCGCTACCCGCGCGATTTGTATAGAAGTCGAAGATTGCAAAAGGCGTGTTGATCTCGCGTTCAAGGGCGTCGATGCGGCAATTGAGAGCTCTAATGAAATTGAAGAATTTTGCGTTGATCGCCAAATAGAACTGGAGGCCCAAGCCAAAAAGTTACGTCGTATGGATCGAACCCAGGCTAAGCATCCTAACATTACAATCATTAAAGACTACTATGGTTGATCACCACCGAGATGTTGACTCATCTTTATCGACTAAACGATTAGCAGAGCGCCATTGTATACATGTACACCACGGAGAGCACTCGCAGATTGAGATTTTGGAGTTCGGGATTATACCCTTTGCTTTGCTACACATATCAGACACTTGCATGGTTGACTACGAAGTCCGGAATATGATATTTTAGGTTGACGTTAAGTATAGCGGTCAGAGTTGACTATTCAGGAATGAATCCGATGATTAATGTCATAACATTTGTTCTCATGCTCCTAAAGTGATCTTTCTTTCTAATCATCTATGATGCTAATCATTGTGAAAAGGCCTACCGTAACAGTAGCTCGCTTATTTATATCAACCAGGCCGCTCACATATAAATAAGGTCTTTCTCTTGAGTTACTCTGTTTATGACAGGTGGCTCACCTTAAGTAGTAGACGCTTTCCAATATATTCATCTCGCATCAATAAGAGCGCTGGGGATGAATAGGAGAGAGGTGAGTGGCCGCTTCTTGAGGTGCCTTCATTGCCTCGGCAAGTCCGAAGGAGCCGGAAACTCCGGTCTATTGAAGCTGGCGTTGTCGACGCGTAAGTGAAATAAGTCGTTCAGCCGGGGTGGTGTATGGTAGTGATAGGATATAGGGACAGAAGCCAGAGCCAGAGCCAGAATACGTTCCGATGAAACTCTAAAGAAAGGAAATAGTGCAAGTAAGATCTTGAACCTATAAGTAAGGTATATGGTGGGAGTTCCGTAACCACTGACTTTGATGTGTGTAATTCAAGGGATATATGCAATCCTCAATGAAGCCGACGATGCCACCCTCAGCCACCGAGACCGGATTCTAATGACTTGAACACAATCACCGTGACAGATACTTCTCGGTGGCGCCTTATAGTTACAGCTACTCATCTTAAAATGAGAGAACACGAAAACGGCTCAAGCTGTTGAGGTACGACTGTGATGCCACAGACCATGCGACCTCAGTGAACGGAGACAATAGCACCATGATATTGACTTTCCTTGATCTTGACATGTACCATTATCGAATGATGCATCGGTTTAGAGAGGTGAGGAGAAGAAATATGTACTCATTGTGGCTATATCTTTACTTGCCAAATCCTCTGTGAACACCTGGGTATCGCACATAACAATCGCATCTCGTCGTCAGGACAGTTCCAGAACCGATCCTCCAGTAAATCCTTCAGGTCAGAAAACTCCCCCAGATCCATAGACTGAACAGATGATCATCAAGACCATCGAGGCACTGGCTAATAACCAGCAGACTCAATACCATGAACCTGCCAGTAAAGACCTCCTTTCTTCCCAACCTCGTCGGCAGCACACTTGACAGATCCACGAGCTGCCATCTCCGTTCCAGCAGAGTACTCCAGAACAGCCTTCTGCATAATCCAAACCACGTCATCATCGCCGACTTTTAATCCCTTGTCAGCACGCACAGCAAAGGCGCACGATCCCGATTTGACGATGTTGACAAGCCCATCTCCCACATCATACTCGCGCTTGTCGTCGGAAGCAGCGGGGATGCTGAAAGTGCCGTTACGAGTACCAAAGGTTGAGAGAAGCGCTGCGCAGTCTCTGTAGTTGGCCCGCTTGGTGCTCTTGGGGGCCTGATGCGCGTTGTAAGTCTTCTTGTCGCATGTACTAAAGGAGTGGTTCCCAGCGGCCCAGTAGGTGTACGGATCTTCGTAGGCGCTGGGTGCTGTGGTTGAGACGGCGATCATGTTATCTTTGGTGGGAGTGGCCGTGGGCGCTGCGGCTGCAAGGCCGATGAAGACCGCGGCAAGGTTGATGAAATGCATCTCGATAGTTGATTTATTAGCGGACGGAAAGAAAGTAGAGAAGTTTGTCGAGGAAAAGAACGGATCGTGGTGAAGAGTAACGGACCAACAGGTGATCAACACCTATGTTAACGAGTGACTGAGAAAGGGAAACGCTGCGCTGCACTGCAACGAGGAGGCTGGGAGAGACACTCAGCAACAGTTAGTTGAAGGGGGAGAGAAAACGAATTATACCCAATCCATGGAGGTGGGAAAGTGGGATGTTTAGATGCGATCACAAGCGGAGATGGTGAGTGTTTCAAGTAGAGTGGATGAGTATGAAACAAGGATCACAATATGCAGAGAGGATGATTTATTCTGAGGGACATGTTGGGAACAGATTGATTAGACTCGGAAAAATTAGTGCTATTTTGCCTTTAAATATATTGAGTCGTAACGAGTGAAACAGGAGGAAGGGCTGTGTTTGTTTAATTGCGATAATCATACCGGAGGATTTAGTGTTTGTGCTTCCGTTTTTTGATGGGGACGATGTTTCGAGCAAAGTGCCATATTCATGCCGAGATCAACGCGTATAGGTACAGGAAAACGTGTGATTGGAAAGCGATTAGGGGGAGTGAAACGAGCGTCTATATATAGGGAATTATATGTGATGATCAACCATATGGTCTTGTATTCTTGGAGTCTAATTCGCTACCAACATGACTGACTGAGCGTAGAACTATAGAGGCATTATATACGCTTTGACTATCGCTGTCTCTCTCTTGAAGTCCTCGAAACAAACTAGTAATTGTCTGTTTCTTTGAAACGTTCTATCTTGTGTGCCTTGGCTTTCTCCCATGCGCATGTTTTGCAGCCTCGCATCGAGTCCAGATCAGCACTCTCAATCTCCAACCTCAAGACCAAAGGTCGTTGATCAATACCAATTTCACATGATAAAAAACCTGGCGACAACTGCCGTAAAACTTGAATAATATTAAATCCTACACCGTTACGGTAGGACTTATCTCCTTGTAAACTTAAACACCCTTCCTTGCAATATCTCGTGATAGAAACCACCAAGTTTGTTGTCTGCTTGTCTCTCAGTAACTTCCCCGGGCCGACAGTGGAGCAGAGTGACGCTCCAGTGGATCGAGAGCCCCCACTCCCAGCGGCTCATCAACCCCAGTCTTGGAGATGATGACGCGAGGGGCATTGGCCAGTGACAGAGCAATTCGTTGGTTTATTTGTTGGGTGATGTTTGTACTCTCAATATGACTTCATATGTCGTGGATCTTTGTCTCAAGGCAGCCATGAAAAAGTCTTGGCCAGATTTACCAGTAGTCTTGAACTTGGTTCTTGGTTAACAATTCCCACGGCATAGTCTAAGGGTTATTAGGTACGCTACGCTAATGTAGGTAAGTTGGAAAAGACCTCGTTATTCCCAGACGTCACTGTCTCGGCCGATACAATACTCAAATTTGACGGTTCTTCAGACTGGGTGTTGCTCGTTCATCGAATTGACCCTCTTTATTAAGCCCGCCGGTATCCATCTTATCCCCCATCAACTCCTGGGGTCATCATCTTGGCTCCGTCTTGGCTCCACGTCAAAATGATCACCCCAAAAACCTGTATCATGGACTGCTCGGTTCAGGTGACCCCTCCAAGAAAAGAGCCGTTACCACGATGATGGAATGGCTCTGATGATCGTCAGAACTCGGCTGAGGGTGAGTGAGACCCTTGGTTTTACTTTTTCTTTTTACTCGATGTAACTCTCAGCTCGTCGCTTGACTCGATTCCCGAGCCCCGATGAACTGTTCTTGTCCCATCTAGTCCTAGCTAGGGGTATTATCGGCCCCCAGTTTTGGGATCGTTGCCAGTTCCTGATATCATCGTCATGGCCTATCAATGGAATGGCATTGACTAACACTGTCAGGTCAGCTGGAAGAAGAAAACACTGTGAGGGACCTTGATCGTTTTTCATGTTGTGTGATTTCTGTTCATTGTAAACTCCATCGCTCAATCTTGTCCTCGTCGCTTTTCTCTTCATATCATACGTACCTAGTAGGTACTCAGCCATCACCGTCATCATGAAAACCGCTTCACAACCTTCAGCTCCCCATAACGCAGCAAGCAAAGTAAAGCGGCTTGTCGGCAAAATTCGCCGCCACTCGCACCCTCCATCCCCCGAAGCTTCCTCATCATCTCCCTCATCATCCGCAAACCCATCTCGTGAATCCTCATCATGTCCTATTCCACACATCGGCAAACATAGTCAACGCCAGAGTCGCCGCGGATCAGCCTCAGAGGAGGAGGAGCGCGTGCACGACCTTGAACTCTGGAACGCAGCTTACGATGTCCTCAAGAGGGACGGCACGTCTTCGGGTCTTGTGCTCGCATACGAGAGCATTATTTCTCATGCACTTCCTGATACCTTGAGGCCGGGACATAATGGGAATGGGAATGGGCTACCGACAGAAAGTGAGAGGAGAGCGGAACTTATGATGCTGATCGCAAAGTCTGGTTTAAACCGCGAAGTTAAGGAGACATCACAAACAGACTCAGGAGATGTTGAAGCAAGAGAAAATCTGATTCACACAAGGTCGACTATAGCTCCATTACTCGATGACCAGCCCAGCGCCGCTGTCGCTTGGGCGGGCTTCTGCTCACTGACACCAGTAGGCTCCGACTGACTCAACCCATTAAACAACAAGACTAATATCATCAATAGCTTCTACTAGAACCCCTTCTCCGACATGAAGATATTCGTCAAGGGTTTGTGCATATTACACACACCATTCCTCACTACATGACCCTCCATCGCGCCCTCCATCCATCATCCTGGACATCCCTGCCAGAGTTCCAACGTCAACAGCCGCAAATCCATCAAACTCTTCTAACTCTTTATCGACGCATCCTCGAGTACGAGATGAACATTGTCTGCGCCGCTGCGAGCGCCTGGAACATGGCTGCTCGCAATGTCGTGGATTGGCATGGCTGGAAAGCCATGGCTGATGCTGTGCGAGACATGGATGCTGAGTTGATGGGCTATGTCGAGAAGAACGGCACAGATGAGGCTAGGGCGTTGCTGGAGGTTCAGAGGAAGTTGGAGCCTGAAGGGGGAGGGCGTGGTGAGTTACAAGACGACACTTCATCACCAAATGCGTAAGAATACAAGACAAGGCCAATGAAGGGGTCATTACAAGCAATGCCATTTTTTATAAAGCCAATTT